GCAGCCTCGACCTGCTGGGCTCCGGCGATCCTTCCGCCCCAGCCTTCCGAGTAGCCGGAATTACAGGCATGCGCTACCACACCCGGCTGATTTTTTGATTTATTGTAGAGATGAGGTCTCGCTGCCCAGGCGGGTCCCGATTGCGGGCACAGGCAATCCACTCACCTCAACCTCCCAAAGGCACGAGATTACAGGCTGAGCCACTGAGCCCGGTTCCATAATACATTTTTTAAAAAGTCATAAACTTTCCTGGAATTAGAACTTGAATATTATGTTCTATAGGCCTCTTATTTATTTATTTATTATTTTAAAGATGTGGGGTAAAATTCAGGATTGGGTATACAAGTGGTCATTGTACAGGTAAAGTTTGGGCCTTCCCTTTGGTTCTTACTTTGCCTAGTTTGAGATCAGGTACCCTTATTGATGTTGTATCCCTCCTACCCCGGCAGTATTCCACTGCCAATCCCTCTCTTATAGTTATGATAAATGCTCAGGGACTGCTTATGAGTGAGAACTTGTGGTACTCTGTTCTTTGTTTCTGTGATAGATCACTGAGTATGATCAACTCTAAATCCATCCAAGTTGCTGTGAAGTCCATATATTTGTCCTTCTTTATGGCTGCATAATATTCCATTGTGTATATGTACCACATTTTTTTGTCCAGTCCAGTTTCAATGGGCAGCACAGTTGGTTCCATGTTTTTGTTATTGTGAATAGTGCTGCAATAAACATGGGCGTGTAGGTATCTTTCTTGGAGAAAGATCTGAGTTCCTTCAAGCATATTCCCAGTAGGGGAATTGCTGGGTCATATGGAAGGACTATGTCTAGTTCTTTTAGAAATCGCCACACTGTTTTCCAGTTTTCTAGTTGGCATTCCCACCAGCAGCGTAGAAACATTCCTTTTTCTCCACATCCTTGTCAGCATCTATTGTTGTTTGTTTTATTAATGATAGCCATTTATACTGGGGTTATGTGGTATCTCACTGTGGTTTTGATTTGCATTTCTCTGATGATTAGTGAGGCTGAGCACTTTTTCATGTGTCTGTGGCTGCCTGTGTATCTTCTTTTGAGAAGTGCCTATTCATGTCTTTTGCCCACTTTGAATGGGGCTGTTTTTTTTCCTTTTGGAAGATTTGAGTTCCCAGTAGATCCTGGATGTTAGATCTTTGTTAGATATATAGTTGGCAAATATTTTTTCCCATTCTGTGGGCTGTCTCCCTGCTTTCTGTATGGTTTCTTTTGCTTTGCAGAAGCTTTTCAGTTTGATGAGTCCCACTTGTCTGTTTTATCTCTTATGGCATAGGCATTTGGGGTTTTGATCAGGAATTGGTTGCCAGTTCCAATTTCCATAAGGGTGTCTCCTGTGTTTTCTAAGGTTCTGATAGTTTGAGGTTTCATGTTTAGGTCTTTGATCCATTTAGAGTTAATTTTTGTGTATGGTGATAGGTAAGGGTCTTGTTTCAATCTTCTGCATGTGATCAGCCAGTTTTCCTAGCACCCTTTACTGAATAGGTTCTCCTCTCCCCAGTGGTTGTTGGTGGAGGCTTTGTTGAAGATGAGTTGGTTGAGAAATTGAGGTTTTGCTTCTGGAATCTCTATTCTGTTCCATTGGTCCATATGCCTATGCTTGTACCAATACCAGGCTGTTTTGATTATTGTAGCCTTATAGTAAAGTTTAAAATCTGGAAGTGTGATACCTTCCACTTCGTTTCTTTTGCTAAGGATTGTTTTGGCTATTCATGGTTGTTTATGTTTCCATATGAATTTCTGTATTATCATTTCCAGGTCTGAGAAGAATGATGTTGGTAATTTAATGGGTATTGCATTGAATCTGTAGATTGCCTTTGGTAGGATGGATATCTTAACAA